TAGATATTAGGGGTACCATGCCTTGAATAATTTAAATTCATATAAAAAGAAGAAAACAATACATTGATGTATAGATATTAGGGGTACCATGCCTTAAACAAACGCCATCATGGCTAACGGGACATGGGAGACGCGCCTTGCCCTCTAGCGTTCCTTTTTAGAACACTGGTTGTAGTGGATACCCAAATTTCTTTTTGTAATAGTAGTGCATACCTAGATAAGAAAACCTGGTCTGCCGCTTTTGCTTCCATGAAGAACTTGTTTTTTCGACTCAAATCTCTAACCTTACACGAGTTTTGCACCCAAATGTATGTCAAACTTCTTGTAGCAAAATATCATGTGGTAGGGCCTGGCTATTCCGAAAATGATACACTGAAGCATTTCTTTTCCCGACACCATTATGTGAACACTTCTTGCAAGTCGGGGTGGTCTTCACAGAAACAGCCGCTCTACTCGTTTGAGGTAGAGTTCAAGTCTGCGTACATCTCAACCCCCCCCCCTCCCTTTCCAAAACCCCACCTCCGGGTGGGATATACCAGGCTTGTTTGGTTTGCACCATTTCTCAATTATGTCTACAATCACTTACCTTGTCTTGGTGATGGTATTGAATGTTAGATTATCAATATGCCTGGGAATCCAAATGCGGTTGGTGAGTGTATGGAGGCGTTGCTTCCGGCACTGAAGCATGCATTGAAGCAAATAAAGGGCGATAAACGAGAGAAGCATCCACGACATGTTCCTCATGCTGAAGCAGACCCAAAGGACGTTTGGGAACGCAGTTATCAGGTAGCTCGTAATGATGGCAAAGAACCACCGCATGGTTGTGATTGCAAGTAAGTGATGTATGATGCATCAAGAAAGATGAAACCAAATGTATTCAGTAATAAAGGCTGATGAAAATTTCTTAAAAAGATGCAAAATGACAATAAAGTATTTCCAGTGGGCGATTATAACCATCATAATTGTATTTCTGTTGCAAAATAACCAACCGGAAATTGCCTAAGATCGCTCATTTGGTATATTTTAGGGGCTGGTAAGCGTTTTCTTTTTGTACTTTTAACAAGTACAGTGGGACGGTTTCTTAACGAAATTACAAGGATTACTTTCTTTTGTGGAGTCGTCTGTTAAAAGGTGCAATAATACTTGTTTTCGGTCTTTCATTATACTGCTTTGGCCAAATTTTCAGTTCCAGGTTATCGTTAGGTTCATCATATTCGTATTTTGGAAGCAATCAGTTAAATTTCCAGTCCTCACATAAAATTGCATAACCGATAACCGGTCCGTGATTGGTCCCGGTCTTTTAAACAAAAAAATTTCCCCGAGTTTTATACAATTTTGTATCTCGAATCGAGTCATTGTAACATTATGAGAAAATTTGGTTCATCAAATTTCTTCTTCTCTCGTGAATGTGTGTATGATATTCTTTTGTTTTATCAACTTTTCAGTGCATAAAATATCTTGAAAATTTAACATCTACAACTTTAAGTGGAAGGCTCACGTTTTTGGGACTCTTTTACATTTTTGTGTTCTATCATTTCCCATTGGTAGTAAGACAATGAAAATTAGGAGTTGTTTATCGAACGTTTATTCGGGTAAGTGCTTATCAAGTCATATTACCTCACTGTATGAATATGGTAAAAACCAAAAATCTTATTTGTAATAGTAAGACAAGGATCGAGAGTCTTACCCGGCAAGTAAGGGTGATGACTTTTACCATGGTAAGCGCTTACCGGGTAAATTGTTGCATACAATGTCTTTTTTATGGACTAAAATCTTATCCGGTAAATAAATAATAGTGTTAAATTTTAACCGTAAGCACCTACTGGGTAAGTGTTTGGTAAGCGGTCCCTTGGTAAATGTTTTTGTATCCTAACTTGTAAACAAAATAGATAGAAATAAACAAAATAAAATCTGTTGTCCTCTAATTTTCTGTGGAGATACGTCATCATTTTATTTAATTAATCTTTTTGGTTCGTTTTCTAATTAAATCGATGATGTGGCTTTACATGATTGATGAGTGGAATTTGGTGATGCCAGATTTTCTATTTTATTAGGACAAGATGTCTTTCTTTCACCCTCTAACACTAGACTCATGTTCTTATCGTAATTCCGACGGATTTTATATAATTTATTTAAAATAAAGATAAAATTAAAATCACTAAAAAATTACATTCAACTTCAATGGATTTTTTATTTTACAGATTTTAATATTAATTATATTATTAAAATATTCTATTCTATAATTTTATCATTCCAATACATATTTAGTTAAACTTAAAATTAGATTTATGGCTAGGAGAAAACCATTCTTTCTCTGCAAGAGGGGAGAAACCCCATTCTTCAAAAGATATAATCTTTTTAATGACCATTTTTGAAAAACTGAAGTTGCCATTAATCTCATCTCTGCTATTAGAAGTATGATGAGTAATTTCTACAGATTTTGTAGAAAGAAGTAAGCCTTCATAAAATTGGCGTTGCCTGAGAGAACCATTGGTTTTTTCATACTCATATAAAACATTTTATAAATGTTTTACAAAGGGATTATCAACTCCTTAATGGAGATATTAAATCCACTATTTATCCTCCTCAGTCTCCTTTCTTAATGAAACGCAATAATTCCTTTTTTAAATTCTCTGCTTTTTCAAATCTTATAAAAGATAATACTCTTTCAGTTACTTCGTTACACATTAACGAATTACTTGAAAAGCAGAACTATTCCAATCTTTTATTGAAAATTATTGGCGAGCAACTCTTTTCCATTGAGGATAATATTTCTCTAATTTTACAAAAGATTTCTAAAATTGAAGCTAATCAGCAAAATCAAACTGATATTCCCTCTTCTTCTGAAAACTCTTCTTCTGAGAAAGTTATATTAACATCAAATACTATTCAGCCTCCTCCTGAAATAAAAGATTTCAAACTTAAGTCCCTGGCTGAAGATTTTATGCAACAGCTTGATTTAAAGTTTTCACATCTGCATATTTCTAAACCATCCATTTCCATGCTTAATAAGGAGGTCATCACATTGAATATAGACAGTCCCATCATCTGTCTGAGTGATATTGCTAATGGTCTTTTGGGATATCATCCAAAAAGCCTGGTGTCCCTTTTTCTTGTGATAAATCTGAAGCTATAAGCTTCTGTTTGCCAATTTGGGCAATAACATTATTTCCTCTCTTCCTCTATTAGAGGAATGTCTACCACCTCTTCCTCTTCCATAGGAAGAACCTCCACCTCCTCTATAAGAGGAGTAAGAACTGTATGAGCTCATGCGAATCTCATTGATCGGGCAGGGAAAAGAGTACCTGAAAATCATGAAAGATATTCACGGGTTAAAAAATCATGAACTAAAGGACTGTAATAACAGTCATTGGAAAGCCAAATTTATAGACGGTCTTCCTCATCTTTTTGCTGAAAGAGTTCGTAAGATTCTTAAGAAAGATAATATTTCTGTTCACTATGATGATTATACTTATGGCCAGCTAATCAGTACTTGTATTGCAGAAGGCCTTTCATTATGCAATGATTTAAAATTAAAACATCAAATCAGAAAGCAGAATTTGCTTGAAAGAAAACAAGAAGTTTTTTCAAAAAACCGACTTTTCTGAAACAAATATTCCAACTAAAGCCAGACCTTGCCAGATGAATTCTGACTATCTTGTGCTTTGCAAAAATGAGATCTCTGGTCTTCTCAACAAAGGTCTTATAAGGCCTTCTCAATCTCCATGGTCTTGTACTGCTTTTTATGTTAATAAACATTCGGAGCAAGAAAGAGGTATTCCTAGACWGGTTATTAATTATAAACCTCTCAATAAAGTTTTAAAATGGATTAGGCATCCTATTCCAAACAAAAAAGATCTTCTTGATCGTCTTTTCCAAGCCCTCATTTTCTCAAAATTTGATTTAAAATCAGGTTATTGGCAAATTCAGATTGCTGAAAACGACATTTATAAAACTGCTTTTAATGTTCCTATGGGACATTATGAATGGAAAGTAATGYCTTTTGGTTTAAAAAATGCTCCTTCTGAATTTCAACAAATCATGAATGACATTTTTTATYCTTATAGCAATTTTATTATTGTTTATATCGATGATATTCTGGTGTTTTCCAAAGATATTGAGAGTCATTTTAAGCATCTTAACATTTTTAAGACTCTTGTTATCCAAAATGGGTTAGTTATATCTAAGCCTAAAATGTCTTTATTCCAGACCAAGATTAGGTTTCTAGGTCATGATATTGAAAAAGGGACTATCATTCCTATCCAACGCAKTATTGCTTTTGGTGATAAATTTCCTGATCAGATTCTTGATAAAACTCAATTACAAAGATTTTTGGGTAGCCTAAATTATATTTCTGCTTACATTCAAGATTTAAGTCAGTATACTTCTCTTCTATATGATAGACTTAAGAAAAAATCTTGTAACTGGACTGATGGTCATACTTTAGCAGTTCAAGAAATTAAGAAAAAAGGTTAAAAACCTTCCCTGTCTCATGCTTCCTAATCCCCTTTGGCATAAGATAGTTGAAACTGATGCTTCTAACCTCGGATATGGAGGTATTCTTAAGCAGATTGATCCRGTTTCAAAACAGGAATATCTTATTCGCTTTTATTCTGGTAAATGGAAAAATGCCCAAGTAAACTACTCTACTGTTGTCAAAGAGCATTTTGCCATTGTTAAAYGTGTTCTCAAATTTCAGGATGATTTWTATAATCAGCGGTTTTTAATAAAAACTGATTGTAGTTCTGCCCAATTTATGTTTAAAAAAGATTTTAAGCATGATGTGTCTAAGCAGATGTTTGCCAGATGGCAAGCTCATCTTGCACCCTTTGATTTTGATATCCATCATATTAAAGAAATCTAAAAGAAAATTTCACAAAACTCGTGAAAAAGATTCTAATTATCGTCATTATAAAAAGCGTTTTAAACGGAAATTTTTTGACAAAGATTTACAAAAGGCCAACAAAGCTGAAGCCTCTAAAAAATCAAATGATTTTCCAAAACCTAAGAGGCATTTTAGACCTTCTCCAGGTTTTAAGAAAAACAAAATTGTTTGCCAAAATTGTGGCAAGATTGGCCATTCTTCAACAAATTGTTGGAMTAAGAAAAAGATAAATAATTTGAATATTGATCAAGCCACAAAAGATTCTCTTTTAAATATCTTTTTGAATTTCAACAATTCTGATGGTGATTCASATTCTAGTTCTACTAGTCGTCTTGATATTGATGATGACTTTTCTTCTTTATCTTCTAGCTCTGAAGATTCTGAATCTCCTCCCTGTGATACTTGTGCTATTGGTCAACCTTGTGAAAAAAATTGTCTTAATGTTATTCAAAATAACACTTCCCAAGACAACAATGATGAGTTTTATAAACTTCTTTCTCAATTTCAGGATCTTAATATAAATGTTTTAACTGATGAAAATGTTTTAAAACTTTTGCAAAAAATCAAAGATCCTGTKATTTGTTCTGAAATTTTAGAAAATCTGRAGTTTAATAAACCTAGTTCTTCTAGTATTCCTTCTCCAATCAATAATATTGATTATTCTATGAAGGAACTTAATCGCCTTCTTCAAAATAAACATTTTTATTCTAACGACATTTCTGTTGCTGATCTTAACAGAGAAGTTAATCTTCTCAAATCTGAGATTGCCACTTTAAAAGAAGATAATATTCTTCTTCATAAGCATCTTGCAATAGTTTCTGCCAATCAGGATTTGTTAGTAAGGAATGCTCCCTTTCGTGTTATTACCACTCAGGATCCTTCTGTTCCCACCCAGGATCCTTCCTCATCTCACGAGCATATTCCTCCTTCTTCTGCTAATCCCGCTGATAATGCCACTCTTTCGACCATCAGTAGAATGATT